CCTGAATGCCCCCAGCCACCATACACCGCCTCGGGGACGTAATTAAATTGCCCGCAGGCCCACATTGGTCCCTATTACCCGGCCATAACAGGTTTACCTTGCCACCACAGAAGGACACCCACACCACAGATGGGTCCCCCCGTCAAGGTATCCAACCACAGACCAATGCCTTCAAGGATCAAAACCGCCAAGCCACCGCTGTGACAAACCAGTCCACAACCACAGAGATCATACCAAGTCGGGCGCGGGTGTGAAGTTCCTCTCTCTTCTGCCGGTCACCAACTGAACTCCCAAGACACCTCCTTCCTGACTTCCCTCCGAAGCCACTCCTGGAAGACCGCCATCCTCCAATCTGGTACATGACCCTCCTCTGACCCCTTTTCTAACTTTTTCTTAAACCTTTGCTACCCTTGTATCCCTTCCCACTCTTGTCTTGTAGGCCTCACGCTTATTCCCTTTTATTCCATAGCTCCTGGCCTGTCTTTACCAACAAACACCAGGATAAAGGAAAATGGAGGTTGTTGGTCCTAGCTAGTCAGATCCCAGTTATGAAATTAAGAATAACATATTTCACACACTGTGGTAAATAAGGCAGAGGCTCGCCCTACAGTGCCTACAGGAGTCTCCAGGCATCTCAGCAGCTTGTACTGGTCACAAGGAGTCACGTGTTGTGTGCAGCATAGTGATAAAAGTACAGTGATATCTTACACAAAGGCGTATTGTGATTCCAGGAGAATAGACTCTGTGTCACAAGATTCTTTTTTGTGTTTCCTGTTCTTGTATTGAACGATAGCCGTACAATGATGGAAGAATAGCTCTTGATGACTCCATGTAAACACTTTACTGCTACTATAACGTTCAGCAGGTGTATTGCTGGCAAATAAGCCAAGGTTGTCCCTAAAATTTACAGTATATGGGGGTATTAACAGCAGAGGATTAATTTGAGGTGCATTACAATTTAGCTATATCCAGAGAAGGGCTATAACCCATGAGACCATCAAATGTTTTAGACAGGAACTTAAATTCTCATCTAGGACTTTAATAGGAGGGACGATTCTCCTCCTGGGCCCATGAGGTTACAGAACCCTTCACTTTATTTACCAACAGATTCTCACATGACATTCTGTACAAAGCAAAGCCTCATCTCCCTTTCTTTCATGTCACATTTTCCTGTTTGAGCCTCTGGAAAGTTTAAAAAGACAGAAAAGGCTTCATATAAGATATTAGGGACCCAGTGCACCGGGTTCCTGCGGCATTTTGTCCCGTATCTGCTGCCATTGTTACAAATAAGCTTACATGTGATGGAAATGAGGATACAATGAGGGCCTGTGTGGACGGGCTTTAAATACAAGTCTATAGGATTGCAAAAGCTGTTTCAAGTAGGTCAAATGCAGGTCACAAGGGTCTCAACTGGAGGTCAAGTGCACCTATTGATAAAATTCTGAATGATCTCAAACTAATGCTGCCAACACAGGCCTTTATACCGTTGCAGTATATTTTGACCTGTCAGCAATTTATTGACACAGACATTTAAGATTACAGAAACTGAACTTCAGATATTAAACAACATCAATGAATGCAGTTGTGTATTTTGTAAAAATTAGGGTTGCACAGATACCAAGTACAGTACTCGGTACAAGTACGAGTACATGTACCGATACTTTTGAGCTCCAAGACTAGACTAGAGAAAAATTCAAAAATTAGGAGGCCGCTGTCATTTGTAAGGAGCACACGGAGCTCCTGGGATTTGTACATCTCTGTTTTAATGTACGATTTTGTTTTTATAACTATAAATAAAGGGATGCACAGATACCAGTTTTGCGAGTACGAGTAGTGGTACTAGCCGAGTACTTACAAGTACGAGTACTGATACATTTTTGTTTATTGTCATGTGACAGTTTTTCTAAAACAATACAGACCAATGATTTCAGGACAATGGTGGAGTGCCAGAACCAGGTTCCAGCTGCAACCTCTGCAACCCGGGTAGTACTCATGAAAATGCCAAGTATCTGCACTGGTACTCGAAAAGTATCTGTGCATCCCTAGTAAAAATCATCAAATATATTTGCAATGCATCCAGTATTCTTAAGTAAACGTTTACTTTACTTTAACATTCTCTTATTTGCTTTTATTTCAGCCAATCAAATTAATGTGTTAAAAGAAGAAAACAAGTGTTTGCTCGAGGAACTGAGGAGAATCAGGCGTTTGGAGTAAGTGCTGCATCTTCATAATCTTACAGCGGTGGTTGCCACTTGCTGGGCTCAACATTCTGTCTGCCTTCTCTCACACTTATATTTCCATCTAGAACTCTCCTGTCACTCTGGCAAACGTAGTGCCGACCCTCTCATAATACACATGGTTTGTGCTTGTTTGCAGTGAGAAGAACAGATCTAGAAGCCATAGCCCCGAAAGTAATGCTACGTCAGAGGCACCGCACTCAGAGTTTACTACTGCCAACCCCAAAAACAACCCAGAACAGAACAGAATGCAGACAAGTAAAGATGATGAGGTTTCTGATCACCATGCTTCAGAAGGTCAGTTATGCCCTTGTTCTGGGCTTACAAGGTGTGAAACAAGTAGCATTTATCATATACATTCTTACTGTAGGTTGTTCAAGATAGACTTCATGGTTTATCTGAAGAACAGCCTTGTGGCAGAGTATGCCAGATCTGTCGTCAGCGACCAGTGGCAGCCACTAGAGGGAGAATGCTGATTTAAAGCCTTGGTTCTCAACTGGTGGGTGGTGACCCAAATGTGGGTCACATCTCCGTGTTCAATGGCTCCTCGGCCTCCCCCTAGCGCAGCACTGTCAGTTCTCACACTAAGCAGCCATTAAAAATATGCTGCCCGGCACCGAGTGTCAGCTTGAGGTGGAATAGAGCTATGGATATGGAGCTCTATCCATTCATGCTTTGTGCACAGCTCCCTCACGTGTCCTGTAGAGATACCTGGACCGGAGTGACCTTGCATTCACAACTTAATGACCGAGGACAAATGGGGGTCCTGAGGTTACACAGGTTGAGAACCACTGATTTAAAGTATTTCTGCCATAGAAAAAATATGGACGCTGCCATTGGTGACTCTTTGCTTCTCAAAATTCTGGTTGCACTTGCAGTAATGCTTACCTTCTTGCTTTTCCAGTTTGAATCACTGACCTTGAACAAGTATGTAGATAAGAACATGAGATTTTTCTTAGAATTTCCTCATCTGCATACTTGGTCGGAGACTCAAGAAATAAAGCTGGTATGTCAGCGTCATAGGCAGGCAATTAGCATTTTCAGGAGGAGGTCAGTAATGGCTGCCTTCCATACATCTCTTATGAGAGCTTTACTCCGAAGGAAACCTAAATGTAACAACTTTGCTGGAATGGATACATTAAGAGTAATAGAAAAACAGAAATGGTCACCTTTGCATATCTTAAGGCATGAGCACATTGTCATATTATCTCTGTTGAATGAATGGGTTGCTCAGAAAGACTGAAACTCCCCTTCAGCAAATGTCATGTGACCCACAGAGGTGAGATTTACTAGAGAAGTGACAGCTGGAATCTAGTTGGATGCTCTGGGAATCACAGATGCTTTGCTATGGGCTCATCAGTCCCACTGTGCCCGTGTCACTTCTTCCATTGTAGAATGCGGCCACTGACATTTCATTTTTCTAATTTCAGAAACATATCCCACTGTCCTAACATTGTCACCAGTGGTGAAGAACGTCCAGATGAGCAACAATGACACTCGGCAAGTGGACTTGGTATGTGATATATCACAACATTTGAGGATGAGCTGTACACCTATGAATGAATGATTATGAAGTGCATCAATCATTACCTACCAAGGGGAGAACAAAAAAATGTAGAATGAGCCAAACTATACCCCATGTGCACCATGCAGGACTGGTGCTCCTCTGCTGTGTCCTCCAACTTGCCCCCTCCACCCAGCTTCCTGAAATTTGAACTAGCCATCACTGTAAATTGAGTTGTCTGACACGACTAGGTCTTGGAAATGCACAGTCCAATGTACAAGAGATTTGTCCATCTAGGAATATGAACAAAATGTGGACTGGTCATTTGTCCCATTCATGGTTTTAACATCAACTAATGTCTAAGTTAATCTTAATGTGTTTTGCTTGTGGTCACATTGGCTACAACAAGTTAATGAAGATATATTTGTAGATATATGGTTCAACCTTGTCTGTCATATTGTAGACTATGTCCGGGGTGCAGAAGGTGCTTCTGACCACTCCTAACCAACAGAGGATCTCCAACCAGCTTCATGGAACCATCGCTGTAATGAGACAGGGAGCTAACTGCGGACAGAGTGCAACATCATCACCCATCCACAAACATAGCTCCGCCAATGATGTGTAAGTGATATGTACTCTTTCTGCATTCACTTCTTGTCTCTACTCATGTTTCCTCATGAGAAGTGTTATTTTTCCTAATGAGAAGTGTTCTTTCCTTGTCAACAACCTGTGTCTATGAATATCTTTAAAGATACTCTGCTGTCACACAAAATTAAGCCTTGAAATGCAGACAAAGGGTACAGCCTATCTACTCGGCCCAGCCACAGTGGTAATGCACTTGTGCACCCCACTCTCTTTTTTAGTGATATGGGAATCACTTCTTGTTTATAACGCAGAAGAGATATTCCTAAACAAACCCACTGCAGACCTCACCCCTTGGTGCATCTCACATGCAGAATGCCTAATGCAGGGGTGGGAAACCACGGCACTCCAGCTGTTGCAGAAGTCCCATCAGGTACTGCAAGACTCTGACAGCCACGGGCATGACTGCCAGAGGCATAGGCGTGATGTTATTTGTAGTGCCAAGTGCCAAGGTTACCTATCCTTGGTCTAATGCATCAAAGTGTCATTACTAAGCAGTTTCTCAGTGACACCAGTCAGATACCCAGCACTAACTTTAGGAAGCAGACCTTGCCACAGAACATGTTAGAAGCCCTATAGCAGTGGTGGCGAACCTTGGCACTCCAGCTGTGCCAAAACTACAAATCCCAACATGCATCTGCCTCTGGGAGTTATGTCTATGGCTGTCAGAGCATTGCAATGCCTCATGGGACTTGTAGTTCCAAAACAGCTGGAGTGCCAAGGTTCGCCACCACTGCCCTATAGAATCTGGCTGAAGTGGATTGTGTAATACTCATATAAAGTATATCTAAACCCCCCAAAAATATAATATACTGTATTGCAGCTTACCAGTACTTAGATGTGGTGGCTGCATTACTTTTAATTTTCACTTTATTGTCACCAGGTGCTAGTAACCTGTCCTAGGGTGACAACACTTACATACCGTGCTGTATATATGGAGCAGCAGCAACATAACCCTAGGAGGGGAAGTGTGTTAGCACTACAGAACACCTCTCGCTCTACTTAGTAGATGTCGGAGGGATGTGTTCTGTAGCTTACACAGGTGAACTGATAACACTGCAGAGTGCACAGGACAGAATTGGATTTCTGGTACAATCAACAGGTACTTACCGAACATATTAAGTAAAATGCTTTCAATGGCAAGTTTATTAGATCAAAGGGGAGCAAGTAAGAGAGGTTTAGAACAGTCGCAGTATTTTCTGGACCACATTTACCTTTCATTGATTGATTTAGTCTGTTGCTAGAGTTTCTCTATTAAGTCGGGTACTCAGGCAGTAGATTATATTACTGTGTTATTGAGTAATCAGGGAAGAGTATTTTATTTTTACTTATCTAGTCTCATTTGCAGACATCCTAAGGAAAGCCGTACAGATTTGCCTGAACCACCGTCCCCCTTTGAGTCTCTGAAACATGTCATCCCCGAGGAACAACTGAATCTTCTGCGGCAACACTTTGCACAAAAGCGCCTTCCACAGCGCAATCCAGGAGTGCCCAGCGATGGGCCAGTTCGCTATGTGTTGGCCAAGAATCATGAGGCGGCATTGGAGAGGAAGCGTTCGGATGATGACTGGGAGGATAAAGCTGCAATGGCAGAGTTACAGGGTGCTATGTTATACGTCAGGGAGCAAAGATACAAAAACAGAATGAACCTAACCAACCAAAGAGACAAGATTCATTATGTAATAGCCAAGCAGAACCAAGAACTCAGGTCACCCAGTTCGCCTTTGGAGGTGCCAAAATACCTAACGAGGGAAACCCCCGAGGAGAAGGAGCTGTCTCTGATACAAGTCTTGAGGACACATTGGAAGAACAATAGACATCTAGATAGCCAGGAAGAAGAGAAGGATTGGTCACATGAAGAGACAAGGTGTGCAGAGCCGGAGAAGCGGAACCATTTTGAAGAAGATGCCACCCCAGATAAGCCACTTGACCTGTCTGATGCCAAGAGAGGGCATCACAGCACTCATAGTGACATCAAGAGAGAACCAAAGAGCCATTATGAAACACATATGACAAATCCAGCTTCCAGAATGAACGAATCACCTCCAAACAGGGCATTGTTTTCTGATCAGGTACATGTAGTCCGTACAGAAGGTCCCATGTTGGTGGCTAAGAGAGAACACGAGAGACATACAGAGAAGGACATACTACATATGGCGATGGTGAGTACAGCTAGAAAATGTTGCTTATATTTGGAAAGTAGTAGTGTCTGGTTTGGAAAAAAAATGATTTATATATGAAGAGTAATGATGTCAGTCCTGTAAATTATAACTTACCGGTATATTTGGACAGTGGCTATGTCACAAGCAGAACTTACATTGGGGATTAGTCATTATCCGAATGTAACTTATATCTGAATACTGGTGATGTCAGTCTGTGAAATGGAACTTACATTTATATACAACTTATATATAAAGTAAACGGATGAGAACCCTGTAAAACATATTGTACATTTTGGAGAATGATCATTTTACCCCCTGTCAAAAAAGGACACTGTCACCTATCCATTCAGGGCAATGTGACAATGTCTATTGATAGCCTACCTTCCTCTCCAGTGAATTATACTTACCCATGCTCCTTCACTGCCTCGCAGTTGTCCTTTCCCACATGATAGTGTTTGGGCCTGGCCACTCAGTCATGTGACAGGGGGCACATGCTCCTCCATATCTCCTCTCCATTAGAGCAACAGGTCCAGGGTTGACAGTGGCACTTTGCTCTGAATGGGCAGGTAAGAGTCTCTTTTAACGTGGATCTCAAGCCAAAATGTTTGTTAGGTTTAAATATTGGGCAGTGTTAGCTCCTCTGTCAGCTTTTTCTCTTGAACAGGATCACACACAACAATACAAGCTGAAATCATTTATAACTCTTCACTAAGCATCTAAAACAAAGTACATTTACTGATGTCTCTGTCTCTACTTCATTTTAATAGCCCTCTGCTGCCTTTCCCAACCCTCATCGCTGGGCCCCCTAGAAAAGTTTATTCCAGACTCAACCTACAGTATAGGCATTGATTCCAGTTTTCAGTCAAAGTTCTTCTCTTTCAGGAACACGCTGTAGGCACAGAGATGACCAGAGAGTCGATTTCCATCATCAAAAGACCAGGAAAGGGGAACAAGAGACATCGGGGATCAGAAGCAGGTGATAAAACAATCAAAGGCTGAAAAGTATTTGTACGCTCCTCATTATTCCAGGATTGCTGTGATGGTTTATAGGAACAAAAATCTATAGCTTCCTTTAACATCTCATTTTGTGGAAGTGTTCGGAGTCCTGGCCTTGTGAACAATCTGCTGTACAAATCTGCCCTACTACCAAATGCCAGATGTGCCACTTAGCCAGTCCAAGCCAGAGTGTACAGATGTTGTAGCACCTATATTTATTTATATCCTACATAGCTCCATATATTCCATTATACTACACTGCATGTACACTATATTACTGTAGCTATACAGAACACTATATTACTGTAGCTATACAGAACACTATATTACTGTAGCTATACATAACACTATATTACTGTAGCTATACATAACACTATATTACTGTAGCTATACATAACACTATATTACTGTAGCTATACATAACACTATATTACTGTAGCTATACATAACACTATATTACTGTAGCTATACATAACACTATATTACTGTAGCTATACATAACACTATATTACTGTAGCTATACATAACACTATATTACTGTAGCTATACATAACACTATATTACTGTAGCTCCTTTAATATATCTAGGCACATGACATAGGTTCACGGATAACCTATGACCTTTTCCCTTTCCTTTACTACCCTCCAAAAAATAATTGAAGCTTATTCAAACCCAAGAACAGTAGTGGAAGCATTCATTTCCTTTTCTTTCAAGTTTTGTTTTGCATTATTTTTATGTGATGATCCTGCCAGTAACACACTTCCTGTTCTAGGGTGGCAACATTTACTGTTCTGTATCTATAGGGCAGGAAGTGTGCTCGGACTACAGAATATCTCTCCTCTGCTCATCTTTATTACGTAGATTGGAAGTGTTCTGCAGTTCACAGAGGTGAACTTGGCAGGGCTGATTACATTATTTAGGGTTTCAGTGCAGGACAAGTTACAAGCTTACTGGATTTCTGGCAGGATCAGCGGGTATATTTCTTGCACTTCCCAAACAGATGTAACAAAACACTTGAATTAGTATATTTAACAGACCATAAGAGAGGTTTATTGTTAGCTTCTCTCTGCTGCTGCTGGAACCTAAAGGGAGCAGTGACATTGCCACCTTTCATCATGTGCCTCTGTTCAGGCATAGTGATTGGCTGATAGGCCTGAGCTCTGCACCATGGGAGGTGGTCACATGCTCCCACATACCAGGGAGTATAAGAAATGTTGCACTGGCTGCAGCAGAGGAAGGAGCAGGGAGGGACTTCTGGACAGGTGAATACCGGGGGCCGAGTGGTGAGCTTTACACAGACATTGTTACTTTGCCCTAAGTGGGTTGAGTGCCAGTGTCTCCCATAGTGTGAAGTCCCAATACTTCACTAATGACAAGTGTAATCATGTGTTCTTCCAACTTGTAGCAGCCATATGTGTTTTTACATGAAGACAGTCAGTGATATCAATGGTCTGTATAACACCGTCTGTCCTGTACCAACAGATGAGGAGGAGGAAAGACAAGCAACAGATGGGAATTCACCACATCGAAACATGGATGAAGAGTTAGATACAACCAATAGTGAGGTATGTAGTGTTACTGTAAAATCGAGTACTAATAAAGAGGCCCTGTCACCAACTCCAAAACGTGCAGATAAAAGCACAGAAAAAAATCTTCTTTTGAAAAGCTTACTTTCATGTATTTTATCTTTCATTAAACAATTTGTATTTACTTGCAATGTGCCTTTGAACTTGGTAGAAACTTTGACTACCCCAGAAAAAATACATTCTTCTCTCCCCACTCTTTGCAACTATCCTCTTCTGGGAGTGTCTAATTACTGTTTGTGCTGGTCCAGCTCCACTGCACTCACCTCATTTTTTTTTTTTTTAACTTTTTATGTGCTCCACTGCCCCCCCCTCGTTTTTTTTTTTTTTAACTTTTTATGTATCTGCTGACATCACATCCACTATGGTCCCCCAATGGGCCCAGCAACAGTCCCACGGTTTTTGGATGTCTACACAAGGAAGTGTTTTACAGTGCGTGGCCATTCTTTGGATTCAATATGTTAAATGCTAGCATAGCAAAAAGTCCTTTTACTAAGTGGGTCAGACATCCCATCCTATCAGAGGGAAAGTTATGCAGCCTGTTTGATCTTCTCCCGTCTGATGCCTACTTTGCCTCGGCCCGTGGTGTCTGCTGCTGCCCACAGATATTAAATATTAGCAATGGAAACCTTTCAAACATGACCCCAGAATCCACCACTGGAGGGTTTTCAAACCACATCACAGGCACTTGTTCTCCTAACAACTATTAGATTCCCCAACAATGTATTTATTCTAAATTACCAAGACTCCATCCAGCAAACGAGACTGTGGCCCTCTTTATGTCAAGGAACTGCGAGGTCCAGCATGCATGGGCAGCCCTAGGCTAGCAGGGCATGCTGAGACATATCACTGCAAGGCTCAGAATGCCATTCCATCCATTCCATCCTGCAACTTGCAATATTTTCATGAAATTAGTGGAACTAACATACTCCTACTACATTATGTTTTACAGGGGGAGATAGAAAGATCCCAGCATTCCCAGGCAGAGATGTCCAGAGACAATTATGCCAGTGAAAGGAATCACAGCCGGTGGAAGAAGAGGCTGTCTCAAGGTGGGTGTAGTAGAGCTTTCAAAGGGCTACATCAGTGGATTCACTATACTTGTACCTTTAGCACCTAGTGTACCGAGTGTAACAATACACTGAGTTACACTGATAGAAAAAGATTGTGCCAAATAAACAAGGTCAACAGAATGTGCTAGATTGGTATGAAACTCATTTATATGGTTCAGTTTTAGAGAGCAGGTCCATGAAACTAATATTTCAGACAAAGTGGGTAACGAAGGACCTGAACTGTGGAAGCTGTGCCCCAAAAAGGCAAACAGGGGACAAAGGACTAGTCACTAGTATTGCCTATGGGCTCCCTACTGCTGATCTTTTTACCATTACAGACTAACCAATCCTTGTTTCCCGCTGTATCTCTGTGTGGAGGAACCCATCATAGTAGAAGAAAAGGCTTTATTCCTTTACTTAAGAGCTGTCCACCTGATGAGTGATAGAGAAATAATCCAAAAGTAGCAGAATTAATGGAGGAAGCAAAGATCCAAAAATGAATCAAGCAGTGAGATGCTTGTGTGCAAGCCCTCAGGTACAGTTTCCTCTCCGGCAAGGAGAAGCGCGAGCAGCATAGTAGTGACATCACCACATCTCACTCCACATGTGGCGAGGCTAGCAGTCAGAGGCAGCAGTGCCTAGAAGATCTCACACTGCAGATATACATCACAGAATGGTCAGTGCTATCTTGTGTGGGGCCGGCTATCTTCACAAATCAATCACTAATGACAGCAAGGCAAGTTACACCTCAGTGATGTCGCTATTTCCCCATAAACTGACAGTACGTGTCCAGGTCAGACAGAAAATATTGAAGCAACTGGATCAGCATAACAGGACAGGCAACAAGCAGTTTCATAAGGAGATTTGGAATGGCAGCCCTCATGTCTCTCGAGGAAAAGTTTCCTTTAGAAAAAGGAAAATTCACTCGTAGAAACCTATTTTGCAAACAATTGTATTCAGCTCTCCATGTGCCTTTGAAGCTGATGTAGTGTAAACTTTGTCAATCCAGTAATAGCACTTCCCAGAGTGTAAACTTTAATTTACTTATATTTATCCAAATCATTCTCTTCTTTACATAATAGAGGGGGGGAGGGGGTTATAATAAAATAATCTCAGCATCTGGGAGAGCTCTCCGTGGTACTCCCGGCCTGTACCATCTTTCCCTGAACCTTTATATATCACACTCCTCTGTCTTCATAGCCTCCAAGAAATGTCTGAGAAAGAAGAAGAAGGTTCTGGACCACCCAGCAGAGAGTGACATCTCCCAAGAGGACAAGGTTGCCAGCAAAGACCTCGAGCGAGAGAGACTGGCATGAATGATGGGGTTACGTTCAATCTAGAGATGTGTATATATGAAGACCCTGAGAGCTCCACGAGATACAGCACTTCTACACATATGGCTTATCACGCCACCTTACACAGTCCCTCCATATACTAGAGCGAAGTTGAAACTAAGATGTTGTCTGTAGCAGCCAATCTGACCTACAACATGAAGATAAAGCATGGACTCTGAATGCCTGAGATGTACTAGACATTTTCCTCTGCTCTAATATTGATAAGTCAGACCGGCTGTGTTCAGTAATAGAACCCGCAAAACAGAACAAACGGTCACCAGCACTGCGAGTTTTCTTCAAAACAAAATCCTTCTATTCATTCTAGCAGGTCATATCGCCATGCGTGGCAACGTTTCGCAACCTGTCCAGGCTCTTCATCAGGCAAACAAAGGTGATTAATAGAACACAGCGCCTAAGCTTGCTATGGGCAACACACCTTCCTTTAGAAAACATTTTTGGATTCCCAATGGTGTTACCGTAGTCTTTGGGGTTGGGTTTGGCAAAGTGGTTGTGGCTAATAAAGCCAAAGTGTCCAAAGGGAGGAAATCTCACCCAATCCGTGTGTCATATAGCGGCCATTCAGATCCTCCGGTTTAAGCCAAGGTGCCAGAGAATTGGTGGGTGTTGTTTAGAATGTCCCAAAATGTCTACACTCGAGGAATGAACAGGTCCACTTTAACTTTAATTCAATGGATCACATCCGGTTAAACATAAATAAGGTTTTCCACATTTTATTTATTTTGGTAGTGTTGTATCCTGACACTTTCGGTAAGCCGTGGCTACCTTTCCCCCATGGTGACTCATCTCTGTTGGCTGATGGTGTCTGTACACTGTGTGCTGTGTAAAGGATCTAAGAGGCACCCAGTTCTCTGTTCAGGCACTGCTCACTAACTCCATTGAGCACAGCTACAGCCTGGTATCGCAGGACGTGCCTCCCAGTAGCTGGGATCACTTTATTTAGCTTGGCCCGTGTTTTTCAATGTCAGCCCTCGAATAGGCCCTTCCCATTTCCAGTGGTCCTCCAATCTCTGACAGCAACGTCTGTGACTGTGTAATATACTGCGATTATAATGGATAGGAAATCATGTAATAAATTGCTTATTCTACGGTTATGTAGTGTTTTGATTGCAATGTTACAATGCTTTGGTATTTATAGGATACGTGCACTTTAAATACACCTTAAATAGCTGTTTTAGTATATTCAGGCAAATCAAGGAGGACTCCAGCTATTCCCATTTAACATTTTTATTTTTATCCTTCCTCCTGCTGTCCCCTGGGAGTTATGATAGAAACTCGGAAACATTGTTGGCATTTGATTTTTTTTCTGAGGACGACTCTTGAAGCTAAGAGTCAGATATGAGATGAGGCTGAAAACTGCTGACCTGTCAGCTGCCTGAACTCATACTAACAACACGTGCCACAATAGTAATATAGAACACAGCCCACATAGAGGGTAGGCTACGGGCCCCTGTTACATGATACTGTTATGCACACTCTCTAGACAGTGTATGTTACCAGCATGAGGTCAGGCAGCTAATAGAGCAGCACCTGTCATACTACAGGTGACCTCTAACCCTGCAGATTCCGATTTTTGCATAACCCCAGACAGGGCTGCCATTACAAATCATGGGGTCTCGTACAGCCTACCTGACAGGGCCCCCCCCACCCCCCTACAAACACATGCAACTGCTGACTGTGTGGCCTTTTATGCCATTGTTACATCCTACTGCACATTACCAGTGTCCTGAACACAACCCTTCCTGTCCTATCAGCTCTCTACATTGGGATAAGAACACGTGAACACAAAGACAGATGGCATTGCTTCTGCCAGGTCCTGCTGACCCAATAGGGCCAAGCCAAACATGAGATTATTGCCTATACCCCCCTATCAGTGGCCCTGACCCCAGACATGATGTGTTCTCTTTATTACGGTACAGGCCTGCTTTTAAATACATCCGTATATATATATATACAGGAGTGAACTTCTTTGATTAAAATATATGTAAATCCAATCACTCATAAAAGCTTGAACATGTTAAAGTAATTTTAAAAGACATTTGTTATATGTTTATTAAATTAAATCCTTCTATGAAATCCTTGTTCCAGTTAGAGGGTGACAACACTCTGTTCATTCCTCCTCATAGTTCTCATGTATTGTCACTCTGTCACATGGGCTTCCAATGGAGCCTTAACCATGGCTATGCTGACTTGCACTGCGCAGGCATGTTCCACTGTTCCTAACCCAAATGACATCTGGAGCACTGGATGAAGACAGGAAGTGACTGCAGGAGTTCAGGAGCATGGAGATGTACAGATGATAAAAGGTAAAAGAGTATTTGACTTAAAAATGACAATTGTCTATGGTACACGGTGCTTTAGCATCCAGCCGGGGTTACATCTTCTTGACTTGCACTGCTGGGTCTTCCTGCTTTACATTTCCTGCTTGTATGTCTGGATAGGTCACCTTGAACCTGCTCGCCTGCTCTAAGGAAATCCAATGCGGTATCATTCTCAGTCATAAAAATATAGAGAGAAGTTCCCTGTATGTCACCACCATAGAGAGTCCTGGCAGGCTTCATAAACATGGCGTCCGTCACATGTAAGTACAAATATTTCATATAATTAGTAACCTGGAAATATATTGTTACTTAAAGTGGTGAGGAGTTAGAACCCCCACCAGGTTTTGATATCTCTCTGTGTCACCAGGGAGGAGAGTGATGGGAAATCCAAAGTTTTGAGTTGCCACCGGAACAGGAATAGAGGGGAAATCTTCCAATGGAGACACTTGTTCTAGTGACAACTGTCTACGAGGGGGATTTATCTCACATTGGAAAGATATCCTCTCACTTCCTGTTGAGTCCACAGGACAGGAAGTGAATTTAAATCTCTGTAATGAGACACAGATAGCAAAAGAAAAAAAACTGATGGCGGTTTTAACTAGGGATGCACTGATATTAGTACCGATATTGGTGCCGATACTTGTACTCGTACTCGCCAAAATGCTCCGATACCTTCCCTAATAGTGGAACTTCCATTCAGAACGAGATTTCCTCTGACCCGCAGTGCCACGAGCGAACATGGAGCCTGCTCCCCCCCCAGTAAGGAAGCCGGGCGGCAGGTAATGACTCCTGATTGGCCGGGAAGCTGGCTCCATGCTGTTTGGCTGTCTCGATGCTGATTGCCTGGGAGGCCAGCTCCATGCTGATTGGCTGGAAAGCCGGCTCCATGCTGTTTGGCTGTCTCGATGCTGATTGGCTGGGAGGCCGGCTCCATGCTGATTGGCTGGAAAGCTGGCTTCCCGGCCAATCAGAATCGAGCCGGCCAAACAGCATGGAGTCGGCTTCCTGGGCAAACAAGAAGCCAGGCGGCGGGTAATGACATGCTTCCTGACTGCCCGGAAAGCCGGCTTCATGCTAGCGGAAGTATCGGTATCGGGAAATACAAATATCGGTACTCGTACAGATACCGAAAAACTGGTATAGGTGCATCCCTAGTTATAACCCTCCTCTACTCTATCCATAATGAAGAAAAGTTTGGGCTCTACAAACCCGGGTGAATGATTACAGGAACGTATCCGTAATGAGAAGATTCCAATCTTCAGGAATGTTCTAATACCGGTATTAATCAGCCGGGGAAAGCTCCTGAACCCACATCAACCCAATTCTGCCATGTGTCCGGAGCTCCTCATAGAACACTGATTGAAAACAAACAATAGAATGATAACATTCGGATGGGTTTATACAATGTTGGCGGAATGATGGCGGAGGAATGACGGACTTACAACCGTCACCTTTTTATTCACGCGATTTAATCTCAATAAAGAAAAAATCTGTTGTTCCAACTGCTCAGATCCCCGGACCATGGTGCTGTTCATACGCCGCTGTCACTTCTACCGGACAGCTCGGCCCGCATCTAAATGTGGAGAAACATCAAGGTGTGTTAGGATAAAAGCGGAGTCAGTGAATGTAATGCGTGTGTTATATTACACATAGGTGTAGGTTTGCCGCTCTGGTAGAGTTATTTGTGTATGATATATACTATGAGGGGAGTTAATCAAAACTGGAGCAGACAAAATCTGGATCAGTTGCCAGTTGGAAATCTGGAGTTGATACACTTATATAATAAAGTATCAGTTGTCGCCCAGAGCAACTAAAAGCTCCCTTGCATGTTTTTAGTAAGCTACAGGAGATTCAGAGAAGCTGATCGGTTGTCATGTGAGCCTGGAAGCGCCTTCCTTATTATGTATTAGGAATTCTCCATATGGATATCTTGTCCACAATACGGGGCTCTCCTCGGGGCCTCAGTCAGAGAATGGCCGCGGCAACCTGCGGCTCTCCCGGTGTTTCGGGGCCCGGGGACCTGAGCCAGCGCAGAAAGCGGGGGACCGACTCCCGGCGGAGGCAGGCGGCGCTCTTCTTCCTCAACACCACCTCTCTGGACGGCCGGCCGCTGTCCT